GGCTTTCCTAGCCTACTGGTAGATGGATATATGGCTAATTTATAATTAACGAGCAAGCTATCATCCATCTAGCTTGTTCTAATCTCACACACAGGCTCTCTATATTCCAGGTATTTCCTCCTATTCCCCATTCAGGTTCTATATCCCTCCCCTACCTATATCATAGGGTTAACACATATATTTTTTGTATAGCACAGACGTGTGCTACAACGGTAAATTTAGTAAGTGCAATACTAGTACCTTTCTATATCTGCTGTTATCAAGCCAATCTTATTGATTTTAGTATTTATTTTTAGTTTAGTATCCTTACACTTTATTTATTTTGTGTGTTACACTTGGGTGATTGCCTTAAGTTTGGTTGGCAATTTTTAATATTTACTTAATAAATAGTTTTTTGTTTTCTAAACTGTATGATTAGTCTTCCGTGCGGTACTCTCATTAAGTTTCCAGTACCTATTACGGGTATACTACCCCTCTCTTTTCTCTTTGATTCTACTAGGGGTTATCCCCCTTTCTTTGTAGTATACCTTTGTGAGCCGTATTTCATGTGTTTCTTAATATTAGGAGTGAAGTAAGTCCTCCCGGTAGCGCTATACTTTTTGGCTAATATTATGAATTATGTTTCACAGGCAGCATCTATAATATCTTTCCATCAGTTATAGAGACTAATGCAATGCAAGAGAGTTATTTATTAGACAGTCCATCATTCCGAACAGGTAACAAACCCAACAATGAAACCTGCACTTCTTAGATAACAAAATGGACAAACTAGATGTTTATATAGTCATTAAAATATATATTTCTGTATTTAAATGATATAGTTTTTTTTTTGTTTTTCTTTTTACTTTTCACAGTGACTAGAACTCCAATATTGGTAAAATAATTGCCTTATTTAAATTAAAACAAAATATTCACGGTCAGTGTTGGGTGGTAGTGGATTAACGTTACTATCACTATCACACAATGTCCATCCAAAAATAAACCTTTGCACAGTTTAAACCCTTACTAAGCTATATTTTAGCCTTATATTGTTATTATTTTAATCACTTAGAAAATACCAAATTTTTTATGTATATGGGTATTAAAGAGACTCTTCAGTGCCAGGAAACCAATCCGTTTTCCTGGCACTGCAGGACCACTCTCCCTCTCACCTCCCAATCCCCGGTTCCTGAAGGGGTGAAAACCCCTTCAGTGACTTACCAGAGGCAGCAACATGTCCCACATTGCTGCTTCTTCCTCCACCGCCGCTCCTCCTCTGCATTACGTCGGCCCGTGGGCGAGACTGATCGCGTGCGCCGGCTGGGGAGACCTAATGCGCATGCCCGGCAATGCCGGGCATGCGCATTAGAGCTCCCCATTGGAAAACATTGAAAATGCTTTTCAATGCTTTCCTATGGGGAATTGAGCAACGCTGGAGGTCCTCACACAGCATGAGGACGTCCAGCGACACTCTTGCACAAGTTTTCTGTGCTATAATCCAGGAAGTACACATACAAAAAGATAAGTCCTGCGCTCACTCCCATCACTACTGGGCCCGCAGCAATGACTACAGTACACATCAGCCACAATACATAGTTAAAAAAAAAAAAAAAGTTACCTGCTCCTCTCTCCTATGTATATTTAGACAAATGTAGGTCATTTAGTTGCTCCAATGACCATTGGAGGGAATGCCCGCCTGCCAACGTCAAGGCAGACCCCCCTAAAGCGGGTCCTACACTGACCCTTCAGCTTCTGGCAAAGATATCTCTAATGAGACAGAGAGGGGTATTTTTTTTTTTTACACCCCTATATACTTATTAACCCTAAGTATATAGGGGTCTGCCTTGACGTTGGCAAGCGGGCGTAATCCAGGAAGTTATCATAACTTTAGCAAAATGATGTATTTTTTTGCATTTAAGATACCTATACAATTTTTAGATGTATTTTCAGTGAATTCGTACGATTTCCAGTTTATGTAAAGATCAATGAACATAATCAATCAGAACATCTATAAATAGGCCCAGAGTAGCCATTTGCATGAAACTAACTATTAAATCAATCATCATTTGGGAGTATCTTTAGTGGAAGCATTTCATTGTATGTATTATTTACCATTCAGTGCAAACTGGAGATATTTCATTACTAGATTGATTTGTCATCAAGAAATGATATGTCAGAGAAGGAAGTAGACTCTTGAGTTCCAAAACTGGATGGTGTCTGTTTTACTTTTTACATTAGAACAAAAAAACAAACAAAATAAAACCTATGAAATATGTCTGGTTTCATAAACTTTGCAGATATGCTACACGGTTAGAAATCTATCAGGATCTGTTGGTGGATACAGAAGATTAATCTTTAAAGGGATACTATAGGCACCAACACAATTCTAACTTAAAGGGACACTATAGGCACCCAGACCACTTCCCCTCATTGTAGTGGTCTGGGTGCAATATGCCTGTCCCCATAGCCTTGCAATCCAAAACATCAGAGAAACTACAATGTTTATATCACAAAGTAGGGGCAGAGGGACACTCTAGTATTAGGAATAGAGCTTTGTATTCCTTACACTATAGTGTTCCTTTAATGAAGCATTTTTTATGTATCGATCATGCGCATGCAGTCTCACTGCACAATTCTCTGCTGTTTAGGAGTTCAATCACTTTGTTTATGCAACCCTAGTTACTTCTCCCTGCATGTAACTCACAAATGTTTAATCTTCATTTATTACACAGTCTGTTTTATTTAGAATATATTATCTCCTGCTAGAGCCTGTAGGAGCCTCCTGTGTGTGGTTAAAGTTCAATTTACAGGGCAGGAGTTAAAAACTTCTAAAGTATGTTCAGACCAGATTGCAAATCAAACCATGTTTTATACAAGGGTGGTGTGGCAAGGACTGCATAAACAGAAACAAAAGGGTTAACTCCTAAATGGCAGAGAATAGAGCAGCAAGACTGCAGGGACATGATCTATACACCAAAACTGCTTCATTAAGCTAAAGTTGTTTTGATTCTTAAATCAAGATGTATAAAGATATATAATGATGCATTTCAAAAAACCTTCATATCTTAAGTTGAACCTTGAGAAGTCCCCCTTGAACACAAAGATTTGAGAAATCATGTTCACTATGATAATTGTGGAAACATGATTTCTTGAGTCTCTATGCTCAAGTTGGACTTCCCAAAGTCCATCTTGAGAAATACAGATGATGCATCTCTCTCTCTCTCGAGATTTCTGCATGAAAAGAAAGTCTCATGGCTTGACTGGTGTGCATTGACTATCCACTGACTTCAGGTGGAAGGGGTTTTCAATCACTTTTTTCCCCCCACCATAACTTTCTTGGTTTGTGTTCCAAAAGTAACGCCAGGCCTCAATAGCAAGCCAGTAACCAACCTCATGTTGATGAGTTGATTAACAATGAAACAGCTGGCTTTGCGTCCATTCCGGAGTGTTTCAAAGCTGTTGTATACAGCAAACAAACTCCAAGGAATCCATATTAAAATATGAGAATAATGAGGCATAAAGGTGATTTTTTTTGTTGAACATATTTGCATATGCCCCACCCAGAATCCCTTACATCAGTAACATCACTGCCTCATCCCACTTGCCTTATCCCAGGGCCCTATTTAGCTTTGAACTGCAGAGAGCCCCAGGTGGATTTTTTTTCCCTCACGTAAGTGGGTTAATCTCATAAGAGCAGACAGTAGGCTGTTAGAGTAGGACCTGCAAAAGATGGGGTACATTGACATCGTGGGTAGGCTTATGCAATGCATGATTATATAATGTAACTAAACCCCCATTATTTTTGCCTAGATTAGGTGTTTTAAAAAAATAAATAAAAAAACCTGTCAACATTGAAGTTGCTGTTTAGTGGATAACTGAGTGCGCTGGATCTTGTGTTTTGTATAAATTGGCCACCAGCACCCCATTTATGCATGTTCCTTTAATGAAGGGACATAGTCACTTGATCCTGAGGAAGGTCCCTGTGAGGACCGAAACGTTGATTTATCTGCTTGTTTGATGAAATAAATATTATTGAATTCAAAAGACCGTGAGTGCAGCCTGCATTTTCAACTTATCTACATCAATATCCCTAAAAGGACTGGCACCCGGCAAGCCTATAGGCAAAGCATAAGGAACTTTGTAAAATATATATATATATATATATATATATATATATATATATATATATATATATATATATATATATATATATATATATATATATATATATATTATACATATTATACACACACACACACACACACACACACACATACATACATACACACACACACACTAAAAAGTATGTGAACCCCTTGGAATGATATGGATTTCTGCACAAATTGGTCATAAAATGTGATCTGATCATCATCAGCTTAAACTAATAACACACAAAGAATGAAATGTTGCCATGTTTATATTGAACACACCATGTAAACATTCACAGTGCAGGTGGAAAAAGTATGTGAACCTCTAGACTAATGACAGTAGAGCTAATTGGAGTGAGATGTCAGTCAACTGGAGTCCAATCAATGAGATGAGATTGGAGGTGTTGGTTACAGCTGCCCTGCCCTATAAAAAACACACCAGTTCTGGGTTTGCTTTTCTCAAGAAACATTGCCTGATGTGAATGATGCTTCACACAAAAGAGCTCTCAGAAGACCTACGATTAAGAATTGTTGACTTGCATAAAGCTGGAAAGGGTTATAAAAGTATCTCCAAAAGCCTTGCTGTTCATTAATCCAGGGTAAGACAAATTGTCTATAAATGGAGAAAGTTCAGCACTGCTGCTACTCTCCCTAGGAGTGGCCGTCCAGTAAAGATGACTGCAAAAGCACAGCGCAGACTGCTCAATGAGGTGAAGAAGAATCCTAGAGTGTCAGCTAAAGACTTACAAAAGTCACTGGCAAATGCTAACATCCCTGTTAGCGAATCTACAATACGTAAAACACTAAACAAGAATGGATTTCATGGGAGGATACCACAGAGGAAGCCACTGCTGTCCAAACAAAACATTGCTGCACGTTTACAGTTTGCACAAGAGCACCTGGATGTTCCACAGCAGTACTGGCAAAATATTCTGTGGACAGATGAAACCAAAGTTGAGTTGTTTGGAAGAAACACACAACACTATGTGTGGCGAAAAAAAAAGGCACAGCACACCAACATCAAAACCTCATCCCAACTGTGAAGTATGGTGGTGGGGGCATCATGGTTTGGGGCTGCTTTGCTGCGTCAGGGCCTGGACGGATTGCTATCATCGAAGGAAAAATGAATTCCCAAGTTTATCAAGACATTTTGCAGGAGAACTTAAGGCCATCTGTCTACCAGCTGAAGCTCAACAGAAGATGGGTGTTGCAACAGGACAATGACCCAAAGCATATAAGTAAATCAACAACAGAATGGCTTAAACAGAAGAAAATACGCCTTCTGAAGTGGCCCAGTCAGAGTCCTGACCTCAACCCGATTGAGATGCTGTGGCATGACCTCAAGAAAGCGATTCACACCAGACATCCCAAGAATATTGCTGAACTGAAACAGTTCTGTAAAGAGGAATGGTCAAGAATTACTCCTGACCGTTGTGCACGTCTGATCTGCAACTACAGGAAACATTTGGTTGAAGTTATTGCTGCCAAAGGAGGTTCAACCAGTTATTAAATCCAAGGGTTCACATACTTTTTCCACCTGCACTGTGAATGTTTACATGGTGTGTTCAATAAAAACCATGGCAACATTTCATTCTTTGTGTGTTATTAGTTTAAGCAGACTGTGATTGTCTATTGTTGTGACTTAGATGATGATCAGATCACATTTTATGACCAATTTGTGCAGAAATCCATATCATTCCAAAGGGTTCACATACTTTTTCTTACAACTGAGATAGAGATATAGATATAGATATAGATATATATCTCTATCTCTCAATAGAAAGGCTTGCACCCACGGTCTTGTAGTATTTAAAAAGCGATATTTTATTGAAGATCCATTAAAAACGGATCATCAACATTTCAGTCCACGTCTAGGACTTTCTTCAGGATGACAGAGACCTTGGATCCTGAAAAAAGTCCCAGACATGGACTGAAACGTTGATGATGCTCTGTTTAGTGGATCTTCATTAAAATATTGCTTTTTAAAATACTGTAAGACTGACTGCAAACCTCTCCATTGATACATTATTCTTATTTGCCCTGGCTTTTGGCATTCGGCACTGAATTATTCAGCTTGTGTGCAAGGCACTTTGGGAATAAATATATATATATATATATATATATATATATATATAATGAAAAAAAGCCTTGCACTCCTACTTACAGTTATTTGAACTGGTGCGTGATTGCACTAAATGTATGAAAGAAAAAAAAAAAAGAAAAATCAGCACTTCCAGGTAGCTTTCATCAGGACAACCATTCCTGAATGGAACTGAAATGTTGACTGTTACAGTTTTTAGTAAAATAAGTTCCTAAGAAAGCTACCTGGGAGTGCTGATTTTTTCTTTCATACAATGTAACTCCAAGTCAATCACACTTCTGTGAAATCAAACTGTCCACTTAGGAAGCAACACTGAGTTACAATCAATTTCACATGCTGTTGTGCAAATGGGATAGACAACAGGTGGAAATTATAGGCAATTAGCAAGGCACCCCCAATAAAGGAGTGGTTCTGCAGGTGGTGACCACAGACCACTTCTCAGTTCCTATGCTTCCTGGCTAATGTTTTGGTCACTTTTGAATGCTGGCGGTGCTTTCACTCTAGTGGTAGCATGAGACGGACTCTACAACCCACACAAGTGGCTCAGGTAGTGCAGTTCATCCAGGATGACACATCATTGTGAGCTGTAGCAAGAAGGTTTGCTGTGTCTGTCAGCATAGTGTCCAGAGCATGTAGGCTCTACCAGAAGACAGGCCAGTACATCAGGAGACGTGGAGGAGTCCGTAGGAGGGCAACAACCCAGCAGCAGGACAGCTACCTCCGCCTTTGTGCAAGGAGGAACAGGAGGAGCACTGCCAGAGCCGTGCAAAATGATCTCCAGCAGGCCACAAATGTGCATGTGCTTGCTCAAACGGTCAGAAACAGACTCTATAAGGGTGGTATGAGTGCCCGACATGCACAGGTGGGGGTTGTTCTTACAGCCCAACACCGTGCAGGATGTTTGGCATTTGCCAGAGAACACCAAGATTGGCAAATTCACCACTGGTGCCCTGTGCTCTTCACAGATGAAAGCAGGTTCACACTGAGCACATGTGAGAGTCTGGAGATGTCGTGGAGAACGTTCTGCTGCCTGCAACATCCTCCAGCATGACCGGTTTGGCACTGGGTCAGTAATGGTGTGGCATTTCTTTGGGGGGCCGCACAGCCCTCCATGTGCTTGCCAGAGGTAGCCTGACTGCCATTAGGTACCGAGATGAGATCCTCAGACCCCTTGTGAGACCATATGCCGGTGCGGTTTGCCCTGGGTTCCTCCTAATGCAAGACAATGCTAGACCTCATGTGACTGGAGTGTGTCAGCAGTTCCTGCAAGATGAAGGCATTGATGCTATGTACTGGCCTGCCCGTTCCCCAGACCTGAATCCAATTGAGCACATCATGTCTCGCTCCATCCACCAACGTCACGTTGCACCACAGACTGTCCAGGAGTTGGTAGATGCTTTAGTCCAGGTCTGGGAGGAGATCCCTCAGGAGACCATCCGCCACCTCATCAGGAGCATGCACAGGCGTTGTAGGGCACGTGGAGGACACACACACACACACACACACACTACTGAGCCTCATTTTGACTTGTTTTAAGGACATTACATCAAAGTTGGATCAGCCTGTAGTGTGTTGTTCCACTTTAATTTGGAGTGTGACTCCAAATCCAGACCTCCATGGGTTGAAAAATTTGATTTCCAATTTTTAATTTGTGTGATTTTGTTGTCAGCACATTCAACTATGTAAAGAACAAAGTATTTCAGAAGAATATTTAATTCATTCAGATCTTGTATGTTATTTTTGTGTTCCCTTTATTTTTTGAGCAGTATATAAATATATATGATCGACTTTATTATTGTTTTCAATGTGTTCTGTAAATGCAAATATTCTGTACACCTGCTCTTTTTGCACATCTTCACTATTTTTATAAGTTTTTGCACTTTATTCGCTTCGCATTTACCTTTGGATTATTGCAATTTATATAGTTATGTTCTCTGTTATATGTATTGGAGTGGAACCATGTGGAAGTCACTAGTTATTGAATTGAATATTTTATACCTGTTAAAATTTAAACACCTTGACATACACCCCACAATGTTATCAGAACCTTTCATGTTTCTCCATTTTGGTAGCTATAATGTAACACTGTACATATTGAGGTTTGTGATCTTCTATACAGTGTGGAATCAGGAAAGAATAAAAGTACTTTAGCCCAGATTCATGATAAAAAAGATTGTCAGAGGTTCAATTAGGAAGAAACACTGGGGGGAGGTTAATGTCTTTGGGTTTTAAAAATCAGTCATAAATTTGACACATTGCAGCACTATATCCAGATCTAAATTTATTGACGGTGTAATTTTCCCCTACAATGTGGCCTCTCGCTTCCTACTGAATAAGGGGCATCCTCATTGTATATGGTGCATGGACAACACAAGTAAGAAAATGTGATTGTTCACATTCAGCACTAATAATTCTTATTCACAATAATTTATTGTGGAAAAATATTTAATTATCTTTATATCTTTTTTCCTTTTTTCACATTGGTGATGTTTTTGTTACAAATTGAGCTGAGGCTGTGTCAATTTTATTATAATGTAAAATTTTATTCAATTTTTCCCTTTATAAATTTATTCTAAAGCATTATTGTACTTCTCACAAGCCTTAATATATGCCATCAATCATGTGTCTGTATGTCTGAGAATTGTGAGCTGAGCAAGAGCTTTCAGTTGGACTTGCTAGGTTATAATGAGGTTATCTGCGCAATTTCGCTGCAATTATTAAATTTCATTGTCCACGCACCCATGGGCGACATCCTGTATATAAATCGCACGGTATTTCATGAGTCTTATTAGGCAGTCATTCATTTTTAAAAACAGATATTAATCACATTGCAGACACCCAGGGAGACCTGCCATGCTAATCCTAAAGTGAATAATTTGTTAAAGAAAAAAAGAAAAAAAAAATCATATGTACAATTACAAATGATAAGAAAAGTATGGTTGTAAGCCACACTGTGATGGGAGTTGCATTTGTAAGATCTCAGATGCAGAACAATGCAATCAAGTGAGAGAGGAGAAAACGTATCATTCTGCAACTGTCACAGCCGAATGTCTATTTGAATTCAAATTAATTAAAGCAGTACAAATGTATCTAGAGACAAAAATGAATTGCAGAAAAATGCAAAGGGTGTTTAGGGGGGCAAAGCAATGGCAGTACTGAACATGTTTCATGTCCGTGAGTATATCTTACTTTATAATGAAGAGAGAAAATAAATGCTTGTGCTATGGATTTGTCATTGTTGAATGCAGTGTGTTAGCTCCATATGAATACATTATAATAATGTTCTGAAATAATTATTGGTTGTCTATGGCAGCACATGGCACTTTGGCTGGGCCTGATAACCTCTATAGACAGGTTGATTAGGTAAATATAGTGCACTCAGGGCTAGAATAGGACTTTATGCTGCCAAGGACAAATTTATGTTCCTACACTAAAACGTCAACTCCTAAAATCACACACACTTTTTTCTATATACATTATACGCATCCACTATAACATTATATTATTATAAAGAGAAACTTACCACTATGAGCAAAATTATGTAATATAAAGCAAAGGATCCAAGGTCAATATGGTAGTTCATCTTTCGGGATTTATAGGAGACTTTATCCACTGAACAAGTGACGTCCTAGTAAAAAGGTGATCCATCTGTGGTCCATCTCATTCAAAAATGAGGGTGATACTTGCCCCCATAGAAAGCGTCGCTCTAACAATACGATTTGCTCAGTGCTTCGTATCCCCTAAATATAGTCACAAGTTCTCTGCAAACAAACTGATGTTTCCCATTGCACTGAGCAACAAATGATACATCCTTTCCCTCCCTTGCCCATAGATGATCCATCCATTTCATTTTGCAGTTATCACCCCAACACTTTTCCATGCTTCTATTCCCCATGGCTCAGCCCCCTCTGATGTCCCTTTATCTTTGCATTATACTCTTGCTAGCAGTTGATATCACTCCTACCATTTCCCCACAGTTGCTATTCCTCA